ACTTCAAGGTAAAGAAAATAACTGAACTTGCTTCACTCTTTAAACACAGTTTTAAAATTTTTAATGTCACAGGGATGGCAAAAATGCGACGACCCGTCCTGTGGTTACACCACTCGCCAGGTGCCCCTGACACTTCAGCGGGGCGCCCCCATGTGCACGTCCTGTTTCAGGGCTCATTTACATCCAGCGGTAAGTAGAGTAACCGATTTTTGTTTTTTAATCAAACAGTTCCCTCTACTTAATCACTGCGTGGTTCATTTATCGAAAGCCATGAATGGTACTTTAAATTTGAAGAAAGGCTTTTACATAATAGCAGACACACTCATCAGCCAGCAATTATATGCAGAACTGATGTTCAGATCTTGTTGGTCAAAGAGTCATCTTTATCTTTTTTGTTTATATCCTGTTTAACAGTATTCAGACACGGCGCTGTACACACAGCTCTTGTATTACTCACGCTTGTTCGACTATGAGTACGCCCTCAAGAATTCCAAGGAAGAAATAAAGAAACGTAAGTTAAAAAACTAAACTCATTAAGTGGCTCGCCTTGAACAGAATCCGAAGGAGATCGCTTATGAACGCTTGTGATCTTTGAGTGTGGATATATTAAAACCTTTCGCTCATTCACTCTGACGAAGGGCTAACGCTCGAAACGTCAGCTTTGAATCTCTTTGCGGTGGCTAATTTACGTTATCAACTCAGTTGATAATACTGAAGTGCCCCGTTATATTCTCCCACCGACGCAGCACCACAGTTTCTTTAGAAACTTACCCTCTTCATTCATATGAAAATCATATATGTGAACTGCGAGTTAAGAAATATTAAAGCGATCTTCACAGTAATGACCATTAAAGCAGTAGTGAAAATAAGGTTTAAGGATTTGAACCTATGACCTCTGTGATACCGGTGCAGTGCTCTACCAACTGAGCTAACAAGCCAGTTGGGAGCTGGTCATGTTGATTGGTAATAAACCCTTGAATCGATGACGAATGAACTACGAATCAATCATTGCTGCGACTATGGCTTTTATATAAATTTCTTAATCCGCGGTTCACATATATGATGTTCATGTAAGTACAGTCATTGAGTAATCACTTCACGGGTTTATTACGAACCAACATAATGACCAGCTCTCAGTTGGCTTGTGAGCTCAGTTGGTAGAGTACTGCACCGGTATCGCAGAAGTCATGAGTTCAAATCCCGTACAGGCCTGATTTTTTGTCAGGCAATATTTTCACTACTGCTTAAGTAGTGTTCATTACTGCGAACATCGCTTTCATATTCAGTGCTTATGATCTTCCGACTACCTTTCTGGTCATGGAAGCCTGGGCACGGGTTTAGGACGCCTTATGCTCTATTTTAATGGTGAAGATGGTGAATGTCCAAGTGTTTTTTATCTATTTGGTTCATCAAAACTTCCCCCAGTTAAATCAAATAATCTACTGCATATTTGCTGTACAACAAAATAAGACAGTGACACGAGCAAAGCTCTGCGTGTGTTATCCATTTGCGTTATACCTCAGTGTTTCCTTTGCATTGCGTGGCTTGTCGCGTTTGTAACATGTCACGTTTATTTCGATAAACAACTTCGCGTTTTTGGTTGCACTGGCAAAGTGATAGTCATTTTTTTGTGCTTACAAGGAAGGAAACGATACCTGTGAGGTTCAATTTTAGAGAAGTTTTATTTTAAGAACTAAAACCTTTCTTTTGTTCTACTTTCAGTGCCACTCGACAAGCGCACTGCTACGCCATTTTACACCGCTGTTCACTCAACAGTTTCCAGAGTTCTGAACGCCAACGGTTATTCTGAAGTGAACCTTTCCAAACTGTTTAGTGCTTTCTTCGCAGTGGATAAATAGATAATTCTGTAAAGCTGGAAAATAATTATTTCATTCAGAGCAGCTTTCAAATGGCGTGAAGTCGTTTTGGGTTTTCCTGCGAATTTGCCGAGTTGTATTATTGGTTGAAAGAAAACAACGCGCGCATCGTGTTGTAGCCAATCGGGTTCAAGATGTGTAACTAATCAGTTGTAATCAAGACAGCACACGCGAAATTACCCGCGCTTTCCCATCGCAAGTGGGTGATATGTTTTGTTGCCTTTATCACAATTAACCCATAAATACGAGACGACGCAATTGTCTTAATAAGCTTTGTAGTTATGTAGTGTATTTTTCTTCTCGAGGTCAATCGTTTGAATAAGTTTCTACCATCCAAAAAATCCTATGCATTAAAAATCTCACCAACTTATTGTCTTGCTTCGCGTACAATTCTAGAATTTTCTTGATAAAATGCTGGCCATGTTATCTCAGTTTACGCTGGTGATCGAGTGTGAAAAATACTGAGTTGTTTTACCATAAACATTTACGATATTGTAACTTCATATTGAAAGGTGAAATAAATGAAATGTTCCTTAGTGATATACTTTGAGTTCGAGTCTATAATTGTCCTTGAAATTACCAATAGTACAAGTAAACACTTCCTCTGAAAATTGGTAACAGTGAGAGCCCCACATATTACTGAATATAGGTACCCAACAAGCGTTCCCAAATTACTTCAACAGTATATTTCATACATTTATCATATATTTTACTCGATAAGCTGGAAACCACTCCGCTTTGCGTCGTGGTTTCCTACGCTTATCTCGTGTTCTCCCAACCTCCCGCGTGTTTACATCAGGCTATGTAAACACGGAAACCATTTTACATTTCTTCATTCTCAAACAAAGTTCTCGAGGTAAGTTCCTCGTCTTCATTTCTAAAATGTGTTTCTGAATCATATTCCTGAACTGTTGCTTTAAAATCCGTCTCAGAATGAAGTTTGGGAATCACTGACGTTTACCAAACCAAATTTACAGTAACGGCTTACAGTAGCTTTTCCTAAGTACGTTAATAAAAGAAATTTGCGCTCTTCTCATCTATCATACATACATTCTCAAAATGCACATTTGATTGGTTCTTTGTCGTTTCCAATCCAGTTCTGAAAAGACGTTCGTTTAAAAACTTTTACAAAATGCGTTTCAAGAAATGCGTTCCCAGAGTTACGTCACAAAGGACGGATAGCTATCGGTCGCTCGCGGTAACTTGAACATGGGCGAGATCGGAGACATTCGTTAGTCGTCGTGGCTCACTTACGGACAAAGTTACGTCATGTTCGTACATTCGGCGGGTTAGGACTGATGCGTGATCATTATACGGGTTATTCACTAAAACCTATCCGCCATATTTTAATAATTTGTATCACGCGAGGTAGCATCGGAGGCCAGGGCTTTCTACCACCGATTCAGTAGTCTGAAAAATGTCAGGTATTTTCGATGGTGATTCCGAAGATTTAGACTGGAGTGGTGATTTAGGGGTAAGCTGTAACTTATCGCGTGATTTCTGTAATACTTGCTAATCACACAGTGAAGTGAAACGGTAATGCCCTCCATTTTGAAAGGTACCTTGTGCTTTTTTGCCGGAAAAGAAACTCGAGTAAACGAACGTTTGATTATCAATAGAAAGATAAAAAGCGCTTTAATAGCAACGATATCAGCTTCCAGTGATTTTCATGCTTTCTCATCGTGCCGAATTGTTCGTTTACAAACGACAGGAGTACGATGGGGAAAGAAACGACCTTGGTGAGAGACATGGCGAAGGAAAAGCTGTCCTACCCAATGGTGATGTTTACGAAGGGACTTATTTTCATGGAAAGAGGCACGGGAAGGTATGGGTTTTGAAGAAGCCTTATTCCTATTTGTTATACGTGAGAGAAAAGAAATTTAAGATCGTTAGAAAGGGGACCGAATTTCCGTCAATTTTACGCCTCGGGATGTTTCGCCCTAATTTTGTAGGAGTTTATTTAACCACATGCAATATTAAAGTAGCTTACATTCATGCACTTTTTACACTATTTTTAAGTTGGAGAAATACTTTGGAAACGTTTCCAAAGCGTCTTGATTTTTTCTCTTTCGGAAGGGTGTATACATTTTTCGAAATGGAGCGAAGTACACAGGATATTATGATCAGGGCCTGAAGAACGGCGATGGCTTGCTTGAGTATCCTGATGGCTCTAAATATGAAGGTAAGATTGCCTTTATAAAATTGGATTGGTACAAATCCTTTTTGCAAGCTAAAGTTAGAAAAGTTTTAAGTTTCTCTCTTTGACAAGGATAAAATAAACCCAATTCACAATCTCAAAAAAATTGAAAACTTCTTAACTGATGGTTCTTTTCCAAAGCATTAAATGTTCAGAATGTATTGGATATAAAATAGATCAATTAATTTTCTAAATCATTTTATGTTTCATTGTACCAGGTCATTAAGGGTCGGTTATTTATACTAAGTTTAGCTGTTTTTTTTTTTCTAGCAAAACCGCATTCAAAACTTACTTGTCTCAAGCTAAATATTTAATCTGAACATTTAATTTTGTGAACAGTGTCAAGAGGGCCGAAAGGTGGCAAAGGAAGGAAATTTATTTGATGAAAACAACCCTCTTCATTTTTTTCTCTCAATATCAAAAATTAACCTCCCCTCACTGTCTGCCATATATTTCCTATAATTTAAGCTGTGAGAATTTAGTGTTCAACTAAACAGTAACTGGCAGTTGATATTTTCCTTCTCCATTCAAAAACATTAATATATATATTCTCCACACTGCTCTCTTTACATTTCCTATACAACTGACAGAGAATTTGTTTAACAATCAGGAGCCTCTTAAACTGGTGATCATTTCCTATATTCTCATGACCTTTAAGTTTGATTCAAGGGTGATTCTGTAAGGAGAAATTACAAGTCAGTCACTCTCAGGGTTAAAAAGTTTAATAAATGTCAAAATTGTGGGGAGAAATTAATTAATTGTCACTCCAGGAGGAGGAAGGGTTAAGTGAAGCTTGTTTTAATCTTTTAACTCCTAGAAGTGATTAAATTGTAACTTCTCCCTACAATATCCATACAGTATCTTGCAAACAGGTACTGAGAGTACTAAAACTGATAGAAGTTGATATCTTCATCTAAAACCAAATTCTCACAACAAATTTACAAGGAAATGTGTAACAGCTGGAGAAGAGAATTAATAATCAGATCTTGGGAGTTAAAAGGTTAAAGTTAAGAAATTTTATCCAGGAAAATGGAAAAAGAATGAGCGCAATGGACAAGGAGTTTACCACTATGCTAATGGGGATATTTATGATGGAGAATGGCAAAACAACTGGAGGGAAGGAAAAGGAGTGTATACTTGTGCAGCAACCAAACTCAAGGTAAGTTATTACACATAAAGTTGACAGTTTTACAACCAAAGAATGGGTGTGGCTCATAGAAGTTAACTCTTTTACACCTTGATATCAGTATGTCAGTTCTCCCTGGTGATCTCTTTACATTTCTTGTGGTAGCTACATGGAGAATTTTTATATTGATCAAGGGCTCCTTGAGTAGGCAATCAATTCATTTGTTCTCGTGACCTTAATATTTGATTTTGGATTAATACTGTTGGGAGAAATTAGATGCTTATCACTCTCAAGGATGAAATTGTTAAAGGGGCAGGTTGCAGTGAAAGAGTTGAAAAGAAAAGAAAAACCATTTACTATATGGGCTTGTTTACTAAACCAATCTCAAATAGTTTTACTTTATTTCCTTGCATAAACACCCGTGTGCCTTATTTCACATTTCAGCTTAAAGGTAGCACAGCTATAGAAAAAAAATCAAAAGAACCAATAACACAAAAAGGAACTCTAAAAGAATGTGGAGATAGAAATTACTGGAACAGAAAAAAATTACTGGAACAGAAAAGAAACTTATTCTCTTGTGCTGATTCTGCTGTAGTTGAAGCTTAAAAAGTTATAGAAAAATTAGCAATAGAAACAGGTTTTCTTTTTATTTCCGCTATTATAGAAAGTGAAGGAGGAGGGGGGCAGTAATTTGAGGGGGGTGCTTACAAGTTTGAAATTATTGCTTAGGGGGTAGGTGCTTATTCAGGTGCTTATAAGATCATGACTACTTATTCAAGGAAATATGGTAAGGTGATACAAATTCTGCTGAAATTGTGCTTGGGAGCTCAACAAAAGGGTACTCTGGTCCTGTATACAGTCCTTATTTGGGACTATGATGAAAAGCTGTACTTATTGAGGTTGATGTGGGAAGTTTGAATATGGATCTCTGTCATTTTAAATGTCCAGGAAACTAAAGTAAAATAGATAAACAACCAGATAAATGTGTGGTGATGAAATGACACAGTGTCACTCTAGAAGACACACCTTTAGTTTTCTTGACATCATGAAAAAAGTCTTAGTTTGTAACCATAATATTTACTGGGAAACTTAATTTCCAGGAGGTTTTTTTTAAGGCTTGTAATTTTGTATGAACATTTGTAACACCCATAATAAAACAGGAATGTCCAAAATGTGCTCTGGAGACAAAAATGTTCACTTTTGATTATTGTTATAATTATTATAGAATAAAAATTTGAGAAAAAGTCATATTGTCTTTATTTTTCAAGTATGACGGACACTGGGTAAATGGAAAACTGCATGGACCAGTCAATATGATTCTTGCCAATCATGTCTACCTTGGACATTTTGTGGAAAATAGGGTTAGTTATCTTTTAAAAGACAGCATCTTAAGTGTCAATTAATTCAGGCACTTAAACTTTTGAAAGTTGGTTTGCTCAAATACCTGCCCCCTTCCCCCCATTTACATTTTGAGTTCAAATTCCCCACCCCGCCCAGGCAAGATTTAAATTCTCCATTCCCTACACACTGACAACAGTTAAATGCCCATCTGTTGCCTGGGAGGGGTGGGATATTGTAGCTTTGAATTGACTGGAGCATTACAATAACATCTGACACACAATTTTACAAGAGCATAAGTTGTAATTGGTTCTAGTTCTCTATGTGATTGATTGTAAGGGTGACATACAATTTCTACACCAAGTACAGAAGGAGGGAAAGCAGCAGCTAGTCAAGTTACAGATTACGTTTGACCCTCACCTTTAACTGATCTGGCACTAGTTGTTTGCAGGGTGGATAATGCTATCCACTGGATAAGTCTCCATATAAGGGATTAACCGTTTAACTCCCAGGATCAAATTGTTAATTCTCCCCTCAAGCTGCTACACATTTATATCCTTATAAATTAGTAATGAGAATTTGGTGTTAGATCAAGATAACAACTTCTAACTGATAAGTTTGAATATTCTCATTACCTATTCGCTGGATAATGTAAGAATATTATAGGGAGAAGTTTCATGTTGATCACTTCTGGGAGTTAAAAGGGTTAATAGTGCTGTACCTTTTAGTAACACTCATCCACTGGATAGCAATTTATTTGTTGGATAGTGTTATGCATCCTTTGAACAACTGAGCCCTCACGTTGTAAAAATGAGTTGTAATTCTTTATTGGTAGCCCTGTGGACCTGGTCGATATGTCTTTGACTTTGGTGTGGAGCAACATGGGAAGTACATCTTCCCTAAGGTAATAAACTATAATATAACTAATATAATATTCTTCTGTCAGCAGTTACACATCCCTCAATGAAATCCTTGTTAAGTGTTTACCAAAATGTATTTCTACTCCTGGGTGGAGAGTAGCACTGTGAGAGTGAAGTGTCTTACTCAAGAATGCAACACAATGTCCTGCTCCCATCAATGTGTGGACAAAGGCTCAATTCCCCATGGGAACTCTGAAGAAATTTTACCAGGATCTTTCTTATTCTGGTCACACTCAATGCCTCCAACACTGAATGCAGAATGCACGTCTCGTGTAGACCTTGTCATTGGCTAGCTCAATGCAGAGTCTCCGTAGCTTAGTGATAGAGCATGGGAGTGCAGAATTTAAAGATCTGCAGTTTGACTCCTCATAAGGACAAGATTAAAAGACATCTTTCTCTTATATTTATTTTGTCTTGTTTCAGAAGGTAAACTCTCATGGGGAGATGCATGTAGACCCTCATGGGGAGATGCCAGTCAGAGAGCATCCAGTTTGGCAATGTGAGCCAGACCTTCATCCTCTTGGTTCCTAACTGAATGGAAAAAAACCTGGCCCAAGACTCAACTACTCCTTGTAGTACGCATATTTTAAGGCAAAAGCTTTCATTCAGTGATTGATTTAACAAGTTATTAATAACATGAAAAATAGTTTTTAGCATGCAAGCTTTTTAGTACTTCATCAAGCTGAGAGTTTTAAAAAAATTGTTTGTTTTAATTTGTAATCTTCTGTGAAAGATTAGAAAGGGAAAAATTAAAAAGATCTTTTTGTGACATGATTTTGAATTTAGTTGACTGTGTAGAAAGTCTCTTTTCCTTGAGGAGACAGAAAAGGTTGAGGGAGGGGGGGGAGACAGAATATTCTCCTTACATATAGCAGAAGCTACAAAAAAACCATACACAAGAATCAAAGTTTTATACTTAAGAGTATAAAATATTTAATAGTAAAAGATATTTATACCTATTCAGCTATGGAAAAAATAGGGAAAATTTTTTGTTTGAATTGTGCAGAAAGAAAGCAGGCATTGTCCATAATTCTGAACTCCCCTCTTCATCTTGCTGTGACATTAAGAATTTTTATTGCAAACTTATGGAAAAAAATACCATTTGTGCAACATAAAATTATAAACAATTCAAATGATTAGTTCAATAGATTTTTAAGGATTGTATATTTTGAGCTTGGTTGTCTTGTACAAATGTCATTTAAAGCTAAATTTTATGTTGCAGACTAACAGTGGTAAACCTGTTTATAAAAATGGACACCAATTTCCTAGTGCTATAAAGCAAGTAATAAATAATGCAGAACTTGTCTCTCTGTTAATGTCATCTTTCCAACTTAATGGATCTGTTAGTCTTACATAAAACTTTTCTAAAATTGAAGAGGAGCCTTGTAAAAGAGCATTATATATTGTCTCAATTTTGACATTTAAAATAATATGTTCTATTTCTTGTGACCTTTACCAAAAAATCTTTTCTTAGCAAATCTTATGATAAAAAATACCCAAACCCAGCTAATTAAATACATTCCTATTCCTCCCAGTTTGACAAAAAGTTTTGGTTTTGTAGATGACACAGTACGATAACAGAGTAATGTCCCTGGACCAAAGCGCCAACAAATGAACATCATCATGAAGATAACATCATTCACTTTTGCCAGTAATGTTTGATATCGACCAGTTTCTCGCATAAACCACCTCATCTGTAAGAATGGATTTGAAATTTCTGTTCCGAGTATTGTAGCAGCAAGTTCTGGACCAGAATAACCATCAAACAGGACAAAAACTATTCCGCAGGTAGAGATGATGTGATGTAAAAGCATATCAATTCCTTCAGTACCCATGTAAAAACACCACAAAAAATCAAACATGAAGTAACCCAGAGTGAAGGTGGCAATGAATGTATGTAATGGGGTGTTTGCATCACCCATGGCAACCAAGGGCCATGGACCAGTGATGAACGCGCTCCAGAATGACAACAGTGATGTCAAAGCTCCATGACACACTGTAACAAGTCGGCAGTTCCATTCATGGCTTCGATGAGGATTGATGATGCACAAGAAGAAATATAAACTGGTCCAGATAAAGAACATTGACATCAGAGGTATTGCAAGGGGGATGAAGCTCATGGTTGTACCTGATCCAAGATGAAGACTACATTATGGATTAACAAACAAAAAAGATATTTTACTTAAAAAGAAAAATTAAGAGATACAAATTCCCTCTTCAATAACAGAAGTGCCTCAGAGGTGGCTCACACTTCTTGTAGGTAATTGCTGTAATCGAATTTGCAATTTTCCCCTCACGACTCTACCACTTTTCAAGAACAAATCCTCACGAGAAAAGCCACGTTTGATCTTAATTACACGACGGCTCATTGATGCAACGCACCCTGAAAAGTAAGCAAGCTCATCCCGATAGTAACTCTGATAGGTAAGGGATAATTATGTGTGTGACACAAATTAATGAGAATTGATCAAATTTGTCAAAATCAAATAGATCCGCAATGAACTTGTAATAGTGCAGTGATTGCAGTTGTAACGTAACACGGCTCACGCAATACACCTGGCAGCTTATCGTTGAGGAAAAAAAATGATCTTTTGACAAAAAATCGGGAGAAAAGTTTGCTTTTCAATCCAAATGAGCGACTTGAAGAGGAGCGACCATTTTCATGTAAATTTCAAAACAAACATCACCAGAAAAAATCTTTCGACGTCGTTCAGTTACGGTACATGATCGCAGGTTGAAACTTACCTCACCTTTATAATAGGTTGAAGAGCAAACCAATATTTGATTTTCCGTTTTTTATCTCTGCTCAAGCGAGCCTTGTATCTAAAAGTATGCTACGTTCTCTTAGATTCCGTGCCTAAAGCATTTTTCTGACCGCAAGTTACATCACTTACCCAAATACCACGATATGTTTGAGAAATATTTCCTTATTGGTTAGCGCTTTTTCCACGGAAAAATATCTTCCAACACAGGACAAAGATATCAGTTCTTTGTTTTAAAGATATCAGGCATAAACAGATTACTTGTTCATAACTCAGCTGTCACTTTCCCATCCCATGTTCGACTTCGATACCAGAGCGAAGAACGTTTGGTCACGTGACAGACAGGAAGCGGCGCCTAAATCTCAATGTGCGGCAGGTTATTTACTCACTTGATTGGCCTTACTCTACCTTACGCAGAGAGTTTTTGAAAAGGGATTATGCAAAAGCTATGGATAAAGTACTTCTGAAAGCGAGAGTAGCGTGCGAAGCGGAACATACATGAACGCAGTCGCACGAGACGAAAGGGAGCAAACAAATTCAGAGCAAGGGTGGGGTGGGGAAAGAAACGGAATTGCCTGTCTGCTGACAAAATGTATTTAACCTAGTGGCAATCGCGTTTGGTAAAATTTTTCCGCTCGACTGTAGATTTTCCATTCCTTTCTAAAACCTTTTTTTTTTTCTTTCTTTCTTTTTAGCTCCCTATCGCCCTTTGTCCTCTATGAACAGCAGCTTTCTCCCCGCCTCTCTCGCTAAGCTAAAGAAGGGGACGGGCAAAAACTGCTCCACAGCAGAATTAAGTAATGGAGTGTTTTCCACTGTCTTGAAAAGAATGACAAGTAGTTCCGTGTTTATCGTGATTGGGTTATTTTGATATAAAAATGTCCTTAGGAGGGCCTAACAGTTTCCATTTTGACCTCAAGAGCCTATTTCCACTCCAAAACCGTTAGCGCTCGACCATTTCTTTCCAAAACCTACAGGTTCAACTCTATGGGGTTCTCGATGGAGGCCTTCTTAGGTAGAATTTAGAATGTCTGAGAGACGAAAGTGGACTGTGCAATTTACAAAAGCTTCTGTACGAGTAAGTGGTTTTCGTTTAATTTTATTTTAGGGGTGACCGTCGTGAGAATGAACACCCTACGATGGTACAAATTCAGTCATTCCTCGAAGCTGCAGACCAGTATGGTCATTGTCTTGAGTTTTTCTCGCCATTGACTGTCTTCTAAGGTGTAGAATAAAAGAAACTGCTCTGGAAAGATAGTCAAAGCCTTCATTGTGTCTGTGCGCATTTGGCAATATGCGATGAACTTTATGGCGAATCGCTGCTTCTTATTGAGTTGTCTGAAACCATAGATTTTGATAATGACTGTCTCTCTGTCTTTGTTTGATTTTTATTTTGGTCTAATTCGCCGCTGGTTCTTCTTTATCTCCTTCTCCCGGTGGTGCTGTCTCTTCTTCTTTTACAGGAGCCGGCCCATCCCCATCCCCTGATGCAGTTTTCTCTTCTCCCTCTTTAGAAGCCCCACCATTTCCTTCTTCCGATAGAGTGCTCCCCCCATCTGCTTCTAATGGAATCTCATCATTTCCCTCCACCGACACCCCTTTATTTCCTTCTTCAGATAAGGCTCCTCCAACCTCTCCTTCTTCTACTGGAATTCGATCATCTCCTTTACTTGCACTCTCCTGTTTGCTGCTGCCTTCTTCTTGCATCAACACTTGTTCTTCATTGGTATCAGCCAAAGTAGATTCCCCTGCATCCTCGCTAGCTGCCACAGTTTCTTCTACCTTGGCATCACCAGCTGCCTCCACTTTCTCCTCATGTGCATCACTTTCAGCCTCAGCCACCTCTTCTGTAGCATCAGTATTTCCTTCAATAGCCCCCTCTTTAGCATTAACACCTGTCTCAGCTTCCTGCTCTTGACCATCACTGCCTGCCTCAGCAATATCCTCCTTGACATTATCCCCTGCCTCTGCAACCTCTTCCTTAGAATTGTTCCCTGCTTCAGTTACCTCCTCCCTAGCCACACTGCCTGCTTCAGCATCCTCTACCTTTGCAGGAGTGTCTCCATCAGCCATCTCCTCCTTGGCATTATCCCCTGCCTCAGCAACCTCTTCCTTAAAATTGTTCCCTGCCTCAGTTACCTCCTCCCTAACCACAATGCCTGCTTCAGCATCCTCTGCCTTAGCAGGACTGTCTCCATCAGCCATCTCCTCCTTAGCATCACAGTTTGCCTCAGCTGCCTTCACATTGGCATGGCCATCTGCCTCAGTTGCCTCTGCTGCCCCTTCCTGAGCATCATTAGCTCCCTCAACTACATCTTCACCAACAGCACTACCTCCTACTTCCTCCTGCTCACAATTAATACCTGGCTCAGCTACTTCCTCCTTAGCATCACCAGCTACCTCAATTACCTCAGCCAGCTCCTTCTTAGCATCACCACTTTCCTCAGACACATCCTTGTTTGCAGCACTGCTTGCTTCAGCTATCTGCTCCATTGCATCATTATCTCCCTCAGCCACCTCCTTTGAATCACTACCTTCTTCAGCTACCACCTCCTTAGCATCAGTGCCTGCCTCAGCTTCTTCCTGCTCGGCATCACAGCATTCTTCAGCTACCCCTTCCTCCGCATCACCACCCTCCTCAGTCATCCCCTCTTTGTCACCACAGCCTGCCTCAGCTACCTCCTCTTTAGCAACAAAGCCAGCATCCTCATTCTGCTCACTGTTGTCTTCCTTGGATCCATCTACCTCTTTGGTGGCCGTGCCATAATCCTGAACAGGTTCCACCTGGATGGTATTTTGTTCCATAGCATCTCCTTCTAGCATCACAATTTCTCCTTGGGTTTCTCCCTCTTGAGATGTATTCTCATCCTCCCCAGCTAGTTTCTGGGCAGCAGAGCCCTCTTGCATTACTAATTCTTGGACAGCAACGTCATTTTTGGATACCTCTGCCAGAAAAACACCCTCTTCTTGAGCTATTTCAACTTGTGTGGAACTAATTTGCAAATAAGTAGCACCATGGAAAGAGCTCTTGTCCTGACCAGCTCCTTCCTCCTCCTCAGCCTCATTTTCCTCCTTGCTACCCTCTGTTTCAACTTTGCCAAAGTCCATCTCCTCTATTACAATCACTGGAGGTTGCTCAGATTCCCTTAAAGATGTAACCTTATTTGAGCCTTCCAAAGTTGCCTTATCATTGGCCCTTTCCATGAGCACTTCTGAAACACAGGACTATGATTAGAAAAACTGCATACTGATTAGTTTCTTCTGTTGTTTGTTTACAAGTTACAGTCCAGCCTGTAATACTTCTTCAACTAGGGTCACCAACTTCAATCATTCAGTTTGCCATTTTCCTCCCTGTCAGTACACCAGCATGTTAATTAATTCACAAGCTTTCAGATCCCTAAGGATTGGCTATGGAATAACTGCTAGCCCAAGTTGAAAAATTTGACTGTAATCAAGAGATGGTTAATATTTCTTCAGGAGACACAAGTTTGAAGCACATAATTTTTTTTTAGCACTTTTTAATCTCTGCAAAAACTTTCATG